GACGAAGAGCGTTTCAAAGCACTTTTGAAGGAGGACGGTCGCCAAACAAGTCGTGAACTGGCCGAAAAAATGAACTGCGATCATAAAACGATTCTCAATCATCTTCATTCAATGGGATTTGCCGAAAAATTGGGAGCCTGGGTGCCTCACGAGCTTACCGAAAACAACAAAGAAAATCGCCTTCAAATTGCTTCTTAACATCTCGCCCGCCATCGAGCAACACGCGGTCATAAACAGCGCTTTTTGTACCGAATCGCCTATGACACCTTCTCCGTATACGTTGCAAATGTTCCGGGCTGCTTCAGCAGCTTTTTAGCCTCGATGAAAAGCGAAGAAGAGCAGGTGTCGAAAATGTTGATTTTTACCTCCTGGATATTCCATTTCTAAGCCTCAAAAGTAATAAAAAATTTAATTACTCAAAAAGACGATTAGCACAGTTTTGTAGAGCAGAAAGAGCTCTATCGAATGAATATTATACACTTTGTCAAACAGCAAAAAAATCGTTGTAAGACAAAAGAATATAAAAACGCTACGAACTTATTCCCCAACCTAATACATGTACAATTATTAATGTTTCTAATACTTTTCACATTCTTTAATGTAAATTACAAATAAGTATGTGAAACAGACATATAAAACGTGCATGATACAATTCTTATAATTATTCACATAGGTTGACCCAATGAAATCTATACACTAGAAACACGACTAACCAAATTAATCGAGACCAAGTACAGTCCATGATTGTTTAATCACAAATTCTGATAATGCATGACATACTATATGTAATGAAATAAAAGGACTTTTACATGAATACAACAGAAAACTTTATTGAAAACATAAATTGTCACACAGAGCAGCTTGTTCAATTAATTTAATAACTTATTAAGTTCTTAACAGAATATTCTGATAACCAAAACCCAGATAATCGAGTTTCTACTACTTTCGTCGTCTCTAATTTACCAATACCACGTTCAACATATGCTATTGATAAATTTAAGTCAACATAATTAGTAATAAATTAAAAGACTTTTATATTCAAATTGTCGGGCAAAAGTATATGTAATGTGTGAGTTTACACTCTTTTAATTTTCTTTTCGTCCGAAAAAGAACGGTAAACAGTCTTTGTCCTAAATACATTAGTTTTTACCCTCCAAGTAGCGTAAATAATTGGAATTGCTTCCTTTCTTAATCATTTAAATTATCAATGTAGCAAGAAGCCTCCACTTATGCAACCAAGCTATTATATTGACGATAATACTATTGACAAATTTGTGGATGAATTACGGAACCCACCAGCAGAAAGGAAATGTCAAGAAAATCCAGATATGAATTTACCTGCAAAAGGAGCGAAACTTCAAGAAGACCCTGACGAGTAACTATTCACTTTGCATTTGTTACACTGCAGTGCATGTAAATGGATCTCTGAACTAAACATTCCCTCTATTTCACTTAAATATAATCAATCTCGCATCATATAAAGCATTCATCTACACTGAGAAAAATTTTCATCGGATAAACCAATTAAATAATGTTTCCGATGGTTAATTTTTCCGATTACGTTTTCCGATTAAATTATGGATACATCCGATGAAATTTATCCGATAAAATGCAGTTACCGATGAACTTCGATTGAAAAACCGATCACATTTCTTATCGGATATACAATTTAATCGGATATATCCGTTTGTTATTATGTAATTGGATTATCCGATTATATTTAATCAGACATGCATTTTTCTCAGTGTAGGCACTGAGCATTTCATTAACCGTATAGTAAACGCGGGTTACTGGTTTTTCTACTATATTTATAAATAAAATAAATTTAACAACACAAATTATATTTTTATGTATAAATGAAAACTAAGTCAGTACTAAATAAATTATTCATGAAACTTTAACCGACCTTTTAATTAAATTATTAACTGCTCATTTAAATCCATCAAAAATAACACATTGTCCTTAATATTTTGGTAATATATGTGTAACATTAAATGCTAAATACTCTATCACGTTTCCCATTCTTTGATTATACCGTATGAAATACAGACCTAAAGTAAAGTTTCACGAGGATAGGTTTCAGGAATAATTTAAAAAATGTAAAAAGACGAACTCCTATGCTGCAAATGTGGATTTCAATGATTTCAGGATACAGGACGTGAGAATTGAACAAAGTAAAAAGAAAGCAGTTGGGAAACAGAAGGAAATTCCTTTTGATGATCCTGAACCGAGGACTTCTAGTGGCAAGACAGTTATCGTGACAGAAAGCGGAAAAACTAAGTGGCTATTACAGCATTATACTCCCGCATTTGTGTGTCAAAAGTGCAAAGAAAACCGGCAATGTACAAAGTTCGCGAATAAGACATACATATAGTCCTCAATCGTTCGATGAAACATCACTGTTCGAGATTGAACGCCTATTTTCGTTTTCCTTCTGGAGGTCTCGCGCGAGAAGACTTTCGGAAGGTTATTAGTATCATCAATCGAGAACGATCGTTTTCTTCCCGAGTCGATTCGTCCTATTGTCTTGTGAGACGATAGGACGAAAAACAATTCTTCGACTCTCGGCGCGACCTGGCGATCGGCTGAACCGCTTGTCGCTAAAGAAAGCGGCAAACACCACAACAGCTGATCGCCCGGTCGAACGGTCGCCGACCCGATAGCTCCAGCGTTCATTGGCCAACCCCCCTCAGGGAGAACCGATGATTCCGGAAAATTTCGAGGAATCACGGAGCACGTATAGGGTGTGTCCTAATACCCGTATGTCCCGTAGATGGCAGATAGACCAAACTAAATAGAAAAGTCCTATACCATTTTGCAAAATTCGCAGAAGTTATCGAGAGATTAATTTTAATGTCTGAGCAAATAAGAGCGTAGAAGGCGGCAAGCCTTAAATGCCTATCGGCGCAACGCGTGCGAAAGAAACGCACGTGACGCGGTTTTTTTCTGCTCTCGCTCACGAAACGCTTCGTGCTACCGCTGCTTCGCATTCCTGTGAATCTCGTGTAAATAAGTGATTTTATAAAAAGACTTGACTACCTTTATTCCTGCGTTCAACTTTGCTCCCTATCTTTCTCCAACAATCACCGAAGTTAAAACAGCACTTAATAAAAACACATGAGATGTCCGAAAGTATCATAGAGTCTGAATAGCAGAAATATTATAATTTCACATTATGTTGTCAATTCTGTTTTGAACAATACAAGGTTTGCGATAATTTAGAAAGAACATTAAACAAAATAGAATTGCACTTAAGGAAACTCAACAATTATATTTATTTGGATTATCATATGTTACACATAAGCGTATAACTGATATATTTCTTGATGATACATTTCTTGTACATTGTGATATGTATTAATCAAACTTTTGTATTATGTTCATAGCGTACAAGAAATAAAAATAAGTACTGCATATTTATTTTGTACAGACTTTTTTTTCGATAATTAGATTATATGTAGGTTAAACTATATAAATTGTAAATTAACCGAATATTGCATACGATTACATAAAACATTATATTAGAGCTTCCATAAACGTAACTTTGCCAATGCTTTGAATTAATCGATTTAGGGCTCATTTTTTCAATAACGGCGCGAAGGAAAGGTGGAAAACTGTGTACGAATTCACATATACATTAAAATTATTGGGCCCCTTACATCCTTCTTGGATCTAAAATTTAGCGTTCTTGTTGCTTATATGATTTGTATTATAATGGTTCTGATTTGAAGTTGAAAAGGTACCCAATAAAATGTAACTAAATTGAGGTAAAAGAGTTAATAGTCTATAATGTAACTAAGTTAAGGTAAAATTATTTAATTTTTAACTAAACTTTTATGTTTCTAACTAGACTTTACCCAACCCTGTAATTAATATATGTACGAGGGTGAGTCAAAAATTATCTGCACTTTTCGTTCTACAATTTATTTACACAAAAATAGGGGTTCAATGTGTACACCATTTTTCAACATAGTCTCCTCCCTTGGTAATGCACTTGGTCTAGCCGTCCACAAGCTTGCGTATTCCTTCCGAGAAGAAGATTTTCGGTTGGTCGCAAAGCCACTTTTGCACCGCTTCCTGCAGCCCAGATCTTGCTCCCTCCGACTTTCATCTGTTTGGGCCGCTCAAGGATGCTTTGCGAGGTCGCTAATTTTCTACAGACGTAGACGTGCAGGAAGCGGTGCAAAAGTGGCTTTGCGACCAATCGAAAATCTTCTTCTTGGAAGGGATACGCAAGCTTGTGGACCGCTGGACCAAGTGCATTGCCAAGGTT